GGCCGTTTCAGTCAGAAGGGAAGAACTACTTCTGGAGATATGCTTTACACCATGGTGACTATGGTTAATAATAATCAACTGTATTAGAAAATTATTCAGAGAGTAGATTATAAATATTCTCATCCCAAAAAATGCAAAGTATATGGGATGATGACTATGTTAATCATTCTGTGATGCATATATATTAAAATACCAAGTTGTATTCTACAAGCATTTACTATAAAAAAGAAAGTGAAAAGACAACCCAGAGAATGAGAATATAATATGCAAATCATGTATCGTATCAGTAAGATATTTATATCTAGAATATAAAGAATGATTACAGTTCAATAACGAATTCCATCAATGGACAAAGGATATGGGCAAACCTTTCTCAAAAAAAAAAAAATACAAATTGCCTGTAAGCCTATGAAAAGATTCACATCCCTAGCCATCAGAGGAATACAACCAAAACCATAGTGAGATACTGCTCCACATTCCCACAATGGCTATAGTCAAAATAAAGTTAATAATAAATGTTGACATTTGAAATATGAAAAAATATGAAAAAATTGGAAACTTCTAACACTATCTGATGAGGTTTAAAATGGCTTAGTCTTTTGAATACCAGTCTGCCAGCTTGTCAAATGGGTGAAAATATAGTTACTTATGACCCTGCATTTCCAGTTCTAGAAATGCAATATCAGGACACTCATAATTGTCAAAGAAAATGAATCCATGTTTAGAAATAACTTCTCAAAAAAAAAAAACAGTTCCAGTTGGTTTTCTGATGAGTTGTACCAACTTTCAAAAAATGAATAATTCCAAACAGATACAAGTTTCCAGAGATGAATAAAAAACACTCTCCAACACATTTTATGACACCAGTAAATTGTGATTCCAAAATCAGTTTCAGAGAACACAGACCAATCTCACTAATGAAAAATAAATACCTTAACAAAAATATTAGCAAGTAGAATCCAGTCTTGTATAAAATAGAGAATTCAGTCTTGCATAATTCACCATAAAATTCTGATTTATCCCTTGAATTTAAACTTGAATTAACATTTAGAAGTCAAGGGATTAATTTGTCATTTTAAGAAATTAGAAAAGTGAAATTACATGATCATTTTATTATATGAAGATAAAATAGTGCTGAATACATATTATTGTCCATTCAGTAAAAATGCTCCCATCAAACTAGGAAAAAGAAGGAAACTGTACATGTACCAACTCCCCATGATGAATGTAATTATATGTACTCCAAAAATATACTGATAAAATCTTTAAAAAGGAGCTACTGAATTTGATGGATATATTTAAAAAATTATAGCAAGTCTTTTCTGAATATTGAATGTCAAAATCTTTTCTATTTAGAATTACAAAGAACATAAATTCAGCCTCTAGCAATAATTCTAATCAATATTAAATTAGAAAGCTTAGAAAATCAAGTAAGACTAGAAAATTTAAAGAACATGAATAAATATTAGAAATTTCAATGTCACTGTTTGTGTGGATGATAAAATTTTTCAATATAGGAAAGCCAAAATTATCTACCAAAATTTTTAAAATTTAAGGAGTTCAGCAAGGTTGACAATTTATTCTTCATATTATAGTTAAAATATTTTTAAAATACAATATACAAGATAAAATGTATAGAAATCAAGCAGAAGATGCATAAAATGTTTATAGGAAAAACTATGAAATAATATTGAAAGGTATTATTAATTGAGTGATGGAATAAAAAAGATTATTGCAATAAAAATATAATTTATCTCCAGAGTTTTGTATAGATAGGTTTTAGTTACATTCAAAGTTCTAAGGCAAGTTGAATTTGAGATTTAACTAAAATTTATACAGAAGAGCAAAAAGGCTTGGAATACTTGAGATCATTTTAAGAAAGAACAAAAGAGGGAGATTTCCCTACCAGATGTTGACTACTTAGAAAACTCCAGAAATTAAGATACTGTAATACTGAAACAAGAGAAGCTAAGTAAATCAATGGATCAGAAGAGAAAACCCAGAAACAGATCCAAATCTAAGTAGAATCCTGTTTTATGACAGAAATGGCCCTCCGGATCAGTGAGGTTATCTATCTGCAAACATATGAAAATGAGCTCTTTTTTACTTCTTATGCAAAAATCAGTCTCAGTAGGGATTAACTGTCTAAGTGAAAAAGGCAAAACTATAAAGATTTTGGATGAAATTTCTTGAAGCTTTAGAAATTAAGAAAATAAATAAATAAAAATAAAATGAAGCACAAGACATAACAGAACAGTGATTAAAAGACCCAAACAGTCTATGGAGTGAAAAAACTGTAAACACACACACACACACACACACACACACACACACACACACTCACGGAAAAAGAAGGGAACTGTACATGTCCCAAGTCTCCAGTCTGCAACAAATTTTAAAACAGAAAATAAAAATTGTCATTAAATATAAGAAGAGATGCTGGTGATCATTAGAAATAAAATATTTACAAATTAAAGCCAACATGAAACATTATTTTCAACCTACCACATTGGCAAAAAAAAGACATTGACTATCTGGATGTATTGAAATTTGGTAATAATATTAAGTATTATATACTTCTAATGACATGTAAATTTGTTCACAATTTAGAATTTGTGATTTAATAATTTAAGAAGCAGATATTTGAGAAAAAATTGTTTCACTCCTAGATGTACAACCTAGAAAATTTTCACAGTAGATATTAACACAATGATATAGCAGCAAAGCTTACTCAATCAAAAGCAAAGCAAAAGAAGAAAAATCGAAGAAACACAGATATCTATGGAGAGAGAAGTATAGACGGGCATAGCAAAAATGTGATAATTATTTCAGGAAAATATTAACATTGGTGGGGTTGAAGACATATGCTGAGGGAATAAATTCCCAGCTGGTTACCTAATCCCAGAGTTCTTTTGCTGAAGACTGAGCAGATTAGAGATATGAAAGAAAAGAAAGGAAGGATCAAACTTTTAGAATATTAGAGCATCAAAGCCATTGCTAATCCATTTCTTTTTGTTTGTTTTTTTGAGACAGGGCCTCAAACTCGTGGCAATCCTCCTGGCTCTGCCTCCTAAGTGCTGGGATTACAGATGTGAGTCACCACGACTGGCTGCTAATCTATTTCTTAGTAGGCTAGTGAGCATATGGATGTATATTTTATTACTTTTCTTTCTTCTTAGATGTTCAACATAATTGTTTTTGAATATTTTAATATCAATGATTTTAAAGGTATTTAAAATATATAGATCTTCCATAGTGATTTTCAAATGAAGCATTAACAGTCAGCTGAAATGATGATGATGACAGAAATACTGACCTGACCTATGATGCAATCGTTGCTAAGAAGTTAATTATTCCTGATAATAACATAGCAAAGTTGGGGGTGAATGGTTAACCTTCAAGACTATCAATTAGAGCAGAGTCAAGGTTCTTTAAATCGTAACATGGCTTTCACAGGGTGGCTGTACCATCTGCTCATTTCAGCCTGGAACAAGGGCAGGAAGACAGCCCAACAGAAGACATTCCTGTGCAACCCAGAGCCAATTTAGCTCTGCCTCGCTTTTAATGACCTACTATTATGGGTAGGACTTGAATCGTGGAGGTGTCTACGTGCATAATTAGATTTATTTTCCTGAAACAATTTTTTGGATATTTCTCTTTTTTTGTAACTTGGGTGCAGCCCTGGATGTGTGCTGCTGGGGCTCTATCCTGGCTAGCTGGAAGGACCGTGGTCAGTTAGAAAGCGAGTAACGCTTATTGAATGCTGGTTGTTTGACAGCACACACATTATCCCATCTCGTTCTTATGGTAACCTAGTGAGGTAGGCAACATTACTCTACTTTACTGATGAAAACTGTGAGACTTAACATGTAAAGAAACAACCACAGATTTCATTGCTCAGCTGATGACTGAGCTGGATATGAACACAGATCTGGTTGACTCTAAATCCCTATTGCCTGGCCCTTATCCTCTCCTTCCTTCCTCAAGAGTTGCAAAGCTCTGATCAAACATGACCTCATTATGTAGAGATGTGGGAACTGAAATCCTGAAACAGAAGGAAGTATGCAATCTGGGTTAATTTAGGATGCTAACATGGATAATAACTGATAAGCATGATGGAAATGGTATTATATGAAACCAGGAAATATCATCTCAGCTAATTTAGGCTTGTTTCCTATTTGTAAAAGGGAGTGGTCCTTAGATTATCAGTGGTCCTTATGGTTTTCAGGTCATAGAATCCTTCCCCGGAAGAAGTCCCTGTGTACACAGCATACAAGATTTGCATATGATGCCTGGAATTCCCTAGCTCCTTGAATGGGATCCTGTTCGGAACCCCTGGATGCTGCAGATCTGTGAAGCTCCTTCCAGTAAAATCATTCAGTGATCTAAAATATTTCTTCAAACATGTGTTCTCTTCGGCAGCACATATATTAAATATTTATTAAAAGAGCTACAAAAGGCAGTATTTTCTGCCAGCCAGGAAAAAAAAAGGGCTTGAGCCTTTGGCTGCAACTCTGAGCTATCTGCAAACTGAGAAAATCAGTGTGGGGCCTCTCCAATATTTAGTGTCTACCAAGGAGGGCTTTGTGTCAGGCTCGTTGGCAGTAAAACAGGAAATGAGGACAGGGGCATTAATAGCCTTTGTAAACAGCACCTTCAAGACTTTCAATCACCAATTGGAGGGTGTCCGCTGCTGGGGTGGGGGGAAAAAGAAGAGGAAAAGCCAAACAGGAAATGCAATGAAGGGAGATGAAAGCAGATCAATAAAGAGAGAAACATTTGGTTTGAAGTCTTGCCTTTAAAATAATGGGAATCCCCCCTGGCCACTCCTTCCAGAAAGTAATTTGGGGCATTATCACAGGTCTGGTCCATAGGTGTAATTGCCCCAGATTCCAGCCACACAGAGGTTTAGAATTCCAGGGTTTGTGCAAAGAATTCAGTTTGGTAGAAGTAGATTTATTGCCATCTCTTAAATAGATCTTTTAAACAAAAAGATTTACCTTCTGTTAGAAGAAAATACCTTGGATTTTTTCCCCTTTTGTCTCCAAATAAGAGTCAAGACAAATTTTCCTTAAGGCCCATGTTCAATGGAAAGTGCCTGGTTATGCAGATGTATCTCTAGTTGAATTTCTGGAGTGGACGGTCATTGAGATTTTTTCAAGGGCAAGGAGTCCTTTAGAGCCTGTGTGTGAGACACTGGTCCCTATGGTCTTCCAGGTTATTTCCAAGCCAACAGTTTGAGCGGACTTTGCCTAAGGAAACATGAAGCATTGGATATAGTAGGACTCTTGACTTGAAAAATAAAGTTCTGTGGAACACTAAGGAATCCTGGATCCTTCCGGGAATGCAGAAAGGAAGAGAAAATGGGAATGCATTGTATCTCAAGCCTTTTTCTTTTTCTTTAATGTCTTTTTTCTTCTTCTTCCTTCTTCTTGGCATTCATTTTGTTCTTAAGATTTTGAGCCAAATGCCAATACCACAATTGCATTTTTTTTTCTCTTTCTGTTTCACAGAGGAGATCAGAGAGTTGAAGAGATTCTAGAAGGACAACAAAAGGATTAGAGGATTAGGAGAAGATAAGGACACAGAAACACCATTCCAATTTGTGGTGGAAATAGTCATTATTTTGTGGTGTAAAAAGATAGACAATGCCAATCCTATTCTTAAAAGGCTTTCCAATTTCCACCAAATAAAGAGCTCATCCTGTCTCTGAGGCTGGGAGTCTGGAGGCGAGAGAATACATTTTATGAAAATTCCAGATGATTTTCCAAATTGTTATCTTGTATATTGAGTAGAACCCAAATCGCCTTTTCTGCTAATTTTATCACACCAGCTGTGTTTAAAAGTAAACACCTTTTTTTATTACTATCACTCAGGAATAATGGAACAAGAGCCATTATTTTGAGTACAGATGCATTCACGCATTAAATAATTTGCTTTTAAGCATGAACCTTGATTTGGTCTCTCTATGAAACACTCAACAGATAGTGAGTGAATAACACATAGCAGTTTCCTTTCTCCCACCCTTCCTTTGTTCTTCCTTCCATTTCTACCTTCCTTCCTCTTTCATAAATGCAGAGCTTTAGGTAGAAAGTGAGGCCCTCTACCATCTGAGGCTGCAGATTCACAGCACACCGTCAAGAGACAGATGTTGATAATCTGGTTGTGCTGCCACTTTCATCTTTATTTATTTTTTTCTTGTTTTTTGAGGGGAACAGGACAGGGTGACCAAAGTTTTACAATAGATGCTTTATGATATACAAATTACCTCCCCTTCTGGATCCCAATGATTTATAAGACTTAATTTTGTAGCTAGTCTCCAAAAAGACTGGCCCTCCTTTGAGACCTCATCCTGGCTTCACATTCCTTTGCTTGGTCACAGTTTCTCTGGTCACCAGTTCACACAGCACTCACTGCTACCATAAACTATAGAAGCTGTTATCTCTCTCTTGGGTCAACCTGAGGGTAGCCAACTTTTGTCAGGGCTACATCGCACATCCAGGCATATGTGCCCACAAAACATCCTCGGGACTGGTTCTCAGTATAGGTAGCATGTTGGACTCACCTAGGAAGTTCTCAAAAAGGCTGCTGTCCAGTGCTCACTCAGAGAGATTTAGAGATAAACAGTCTGGCTTCTGGGCAGCTGTATTTTCAAAACATCCTTAGTCATTCTACTTTGCAACCCAGTTTGTTAGCTATGACCTCAGTGTCTGATTCTTCCTTCACTGTAAAATTTTTTTTTTTGCTCATTGATAAAATTGATAAAATTAATAGTATCCCCCAATGTGGGAAAAATTTGATGCACACTATCTCTACAAACTTCTGAGACTGAGAAATTTAATAGGCATTAGATGACCACTTCTTTCCCCATGCCCTGCCCCAGTCCTGGGGAAGCTGATCATGGGTTGTTTATGAAGACAAAGTCCAGGCTAAGATGCAAATAGCAACCTTACACTTATAGCCAATCCAGTTCTTTGAACAAAATGTACTCTCCTCCTTGGTCCCCTGAAGTCTGTATCAAAATCCAACTCTTCAAACACTGTGATGGGGTCTTACATCAACATATGAATCCTTTCCCGAATGCCTGGGCTCTGAGGTGAACTCTGATGGCACCTTTGTAAGAAGCACTCCTCTTTGTCAGCCTGCAGTTAAATCAACACTGGAGTCTTCCTGTTCAGATCATCTCTATGTGGTGTTTTCAGAAATGGCTTTTCGATGGGACCAAGGATTTAATTCAGTGGTTCCACTGCCTGCCTTGCAAGTGCAAGATCGTGATTTTGATCTCCATTACCCCCCCTCAAAAAAAAAAGAAAGCAAAGAAATGTCTGTTCGAGCTTGATGGGAGTGGGAGAAATCTGCAGCTTAAACATAGGAAACTTTACAGGAAAGACATTCAGCAAACTCCTCAAAAGTTTCCTTCCTAAAACTCTTTTCTTTATGCCAGGTGTAAAGTGGTTTTAACACTCAGAGGCAAAGTATCTCTTACACCATAAAACACTGTTCTGGGTAAACATGAAGAAGTTTACTAGAGAGAGGTTAGAGCTTCCAGAAAGATTAGATAATGGCTTTACAGCAGGTGCAGCTTCAGACATTGTGGCCCTGGCTGGAAAAAAAATCTGTGTGATTTTTGTGCGTAACTTGATTAAACAACAACCATGAAGGCCTCTCTGCAAATTAGAAAGGGTATGAGGGCTGGGGATTTAGCTTAGTGGTTCTACTGCCTCCTTGCAAGCACAAGGACCTAAGTTCGATCCCCGGTACCAAAAAAAAAAAAAAAAAGAGAGAGAGAGAGAGAGAAAAAGAAAAAGAAAAAGAAAGGAAGGAGTTGAGAGGGCAATAGTTTTGGATATGCATGTGGGATTTCATTTGATCCTCAGATATCTCACATACCTAAGACCACGGTAAACACTGAGAAACCTAAGAGCATGATGACAGATGAATCTGCAAGTGAAAAGTACAGTGGGCACAGTTAATAATCATAAAAGACCAATGATGCCTGTGGCACACTCTTAGGACTTAGAAGTTGTCAGAGCTGTAGAAGGTACAGAACGTGGGGGAAGCAGCATTGGTCACTTGCAGATTCTTGGGCAAAATACCTACAGATTACAGACTGATGTTCTTGTGGATGAGAGAGGAAAATCCATGGCTTTTGTCTTGACTGAGTTGCCATCACCGTCAAATAGACTTTGGAGCACATATCCATCTCCCTATCCCATCACCATATGTACAGTGTCAACCAGAGCCTCTCTTGAGGTGGAAATGCCACCTTTCATGATCACGGGGATTGAAACTAACAAAATAGTTCTTCACAATGATTGCACTCAGCTTTGAGGAGTTCTTTTCAGTTTCCTGAAAAGTTTCCGGTGGGATAAGTACGAACGACAACCTATTCTGTGTGAGAGACATGGTTAGGCTCAGGAGGAGAAGGACAAGAATGCAAAATTACTAGTTAACTAGAAGCTACTGCTGTTGCTGTATTAATTTTAAAATTTTTATTTTTATTAGTTCCTGTTCGCAGTATATGATGGTTATAATTGTTGTTGGCAGTGGACACATGTACTTCAAGTTCTTTTTACATTCCATTCCCCTCTGCACCCTTCTGCCTCCCTTCATCTCTTGGTTCCCTTCCCATTTGCAATAGTCCTATTTTTAGCTGGGTGTGGTGGTGCATGCCTATAATCCCAGCACTCGGGAAGCTGAGGCAGGAGGATTGCTGTGAGTTCAAGACCAGCCTGGGCTACATAGTGAGTTCCAGGTCAGTCTCAACTACATAGTGAGACCCTGACTCAAAAAAAAAAAAAAGAGTCCTATTATCTATTTTTTATTTTGCTCTTTAACTTGTTTATTCTCTGAGTTTCTCATATAAGAGCAAGCATCCAATATATATGCAAACGTATGTGTTTGATTCACTTCACTTAACATTATGGGCTCATTGTGGAAATCCCACATTTTCTTTAGCCATTCATCTGGGGATGGACATCTAGGCATCTTCCAAGGTTTACCTACCATGAGTTGTGCTGTTGTGCTGCTATCAACATGGGTATTCAGGTATCACTGTAATATGATTTATTTCTGATGTGAGTACTCATATAAATTGAAGGCATGTGAAGCTAGAATTAGTTCAAGAATGTGCCCACACCTTTAGAAAACTGAAGTTCTTTTTGTGGCATTGGGGAATCAATGTCCTAAAGAATAATTGTTTATCCATCTGAGAATTCTGTTTTTGCTTTGCTATGTCTTGTTTTTCTGTTTTTGTTTTTTATTTATTTACTTTTTGTTCTCTGAGGGTCTTGCTAAGTAGCTAGATTGCCTAAGCTGGGCTGAAATTTGTGATGAGCCTGCCTCAGTCTCCCAGCAGCATTACAAAGCAGTAATCTATGTGCATGAAACATGATCTAAACGGAAAAGAAAGGCATACAATTAAAACTAGGCTCCTTCCCATAGGTGTCCTCCAGGCTTTGTCTACCATCCCAAAAGCAACCAAGTACCTTCATCTTAATATCCGGGCTGAGCATATGGGACTCAATGCAAAGACCATACTGTGTTCTTCAGATTGCTAAGGCTACACAGTGGGGCAACTCGGAGAGGGAGAGTCATTCCACAGCCCGAGGAGAGGTCAGTTGCTGTCAGCGGAGGACTAGGAGTCAGAGATTTGATACTACACCTGCCTACAGCAACATCATATCAGGGCCAGTCACATCTTTTGTGGGGCTCAATGCAAAACTAAAACAGAAGGACCCCTTGTTCAGGATGGCAACAGAATCTTTTGACTAAGCACTAAACCTAGACTGCATAGGTCAGCGGGCTGTGAAGCCTGTCTGAGCCAAGCATTAAAGAAGTGCTGTTATCTCCAGTGGACCACGGATGGAATGGGACTCACAGAGGCACTTTGACTTGTCAGGGTGTTGGACCAATGAAAATGGAAAGCAGGTGTGCTGGACCCCAAAGATGTCTTTGTGCAATCTTGAGCTTCTGAGCCTCTCAAGTCCCCAAGGATAGCTTCCTGGCTCAGGGGAACAAAGCACTATGCAGCCACGTCCCTATAGTACACTTAGAAATAAGGCTGTCTGGAAAATGTCTAGGATGATCAGCACGTTATGGTAATTCAAACCAAATTACAATTCTTATCTTGGATTATGAAATTCCATTCAGAGTGAAATTTCATAGATGAATCAGGTTTATTTATCATAAGTATGTCTAGTCAAAATAGGAGAACTACTTAACAGTATAATTAAAACTGATACATATCTAGTTGAAAAACTATCCAGTCCCTCAAATACTTCCATAGGAGATGGCTACATACTTTGGCACAAAATCCTCCTGTGCCTTCCAAAATATTTAA